CATGATAGTATAATGTGTTGATTTAATATTTTTTCCACTCTTCTTATTTTTAATTTTCCATTCCATTTAAGATAATCCTGCCACAATCATAAAACCCTTTCTGAAACTTTATACGTTGATAGAACCAGATTTTTATATTTTTTACTTTTCGTTTTCGATTTTAAATTGATGTTGTTTTGTTGAAGTCATTTAGATAAACCCTTGCTTCATCGGGGGTCACAATGCATTTCCAATTTTCTTCCGATAAATAGTTTTCACACAGAGTTTCACAAATTGTTCTGCGTTAAACCACAGGCATCGACATAAAACTGCTGAATATTGTTTTCTTTAGCTTTGTAAATTTGTAACTGTTAGTTTTTTATTTTATTTATTCTTGTTACAGATACGTTTAAATAATTTGCAATTGATTTCTGTGTCAACGGAATTTGCCTTCTTAACAATGATTTAAATTTAGAAATATTAGAAACAATATATACACTTTCTCGGGTATAGAGCCTTGTTTCAATGTAGAAGTAATAATAGACGATTTTCCCCTTTCCCAGTCATAATGTTGCGTATTTTTTTACCTAGAAATTTTAACACCACGCATTTCAAAACCTTTTTGAATTATGAATAAAAGTAATTATCTTCGGAAAGAGGAAAAACATATCCTTCAATACATAACTTGTTTACTTCCAACATTTCGAGAGAAGAATAAATTTAAAGGTAGTTGACGATTTACCTCATTTCAAATAATAAGTTGTTGCCAAAATTTTTATTCCAAAATATTTGCTTTTTACTTCCTTGTAAAGGAAGAACTGTAATTAAGAAAAATTCCAGGTATTATGTTGCAACAAAAATATTCTTTTCGACCGCTATAAAATGCAATTTAACGATGTTTTTGTGTGACATATCTACGTCAGGACAGAATAAAGGACTCTTTTTCAGCAAACGAATTATAAAACTGATTTAAAATGGATTCAAAAAAGATTTTTTTCATGGCGTCTGTACTGTATATGTATCTCGCATAACTCAAAAACTAGTAGACTCAAAATGTTGTTCGTAAGTATATAAATATGTATATATATAGTATATAAGTATAGTGTTATAAGTATATATATAATATATGTATGTATGTATATATGTCTGTACGTACGTATGTATATATGTATGTATCTCGCATAATCAAAAACGAGCAGACAAGATCGTTGAAATTTTTGTATATAGGACTGCTATAATATGTAGGTGTGCACCTCCCTTTTTGATTGCGATTGGCCGCACTAAACGCGCATAAGCATAACAGCGGGTATATATATATATATATATATATATATATATATATACCGCTCTGTTACTCGGCTGAGCTCAGGTGTTTTTTTTTTATTAGTATTTTTTTTATTTTTACATGTTGGTAAATTGTGTATTTTTTGCTTTAAAAGGATTTAATTATGTTGTAGTTAATCTGCATGCAATAGTTGTAGAATTATCAACAATTGTTTCAGTGCGGCTAAGCCTTATTTTTATTACCATATCAGCCATATTTGTTTACATTTTCATTTTAGCAAAAAAGTGAATTCAGTTTGTGCACCTTCAGTTACTTTTTGCCGAGTGGGACCAAAATTAAACTCTCATTTTTATGCACCGGAAAATCGATGTTGCCTGCTGGGCGAATTGCCTGTTTTTGCGTAGAATTTCTAATTTTAATCGTAATTTTCTTTTGTCTGTTTAAACTTTATTTAGTATTTTTTTTAATATTTTTCAAGTTTTAATGAAGATATTTTGAGGTTTTATGTATTTTTGCCTTCCTGCGAACTCAGAACAGAATTAATTCAGTGAAAATATATGTCTAATATTTAAATCTTTAAAATATCTTTAAATGAAATGCAGCAAAAAATTCCTATAATTTAATATTCCGTACAAGGAAGTAAACATCAGATTTTTTAATTCTTTATCAAAATTCTTCTTAAAGTGTGTAAACACCCTCTGTATTTACAGTATAGTATTTCGCTTCATGTAAAGCAAATAACATGCACTAAGCATTCCAAGTAATTTTTGGTCTCATGCCTATTTTCCAAATTTGGTTTGATTAATTGTAAGGCTAATTCCCCTTTCAAAGCTTTACAATAATTCGCAGATTAACTTTTAAATTCATTGCAGAGTGAAAAAAAGAGAAAGTTAGTTCTTCATGTGCAGTTGTAGAAGATCGGGTTGTAGAAAAAAAAAAAGATTTAATAGTTTTAAATAGAAATTTTCTCTCATCATGAGACTGCTCTCTTTAATGGGAAACAACATGAATTTCTTTTATCCCTGATTCTGCAGGATTAACTTCAGTTTGGAAGGTAGACTTTAATTTACTTTAATATTACTAATATATAATTATTATATTATTAATATTTAATTATTACATATTAATATTTAATTATTACATTACTAATATTTAATTGTTATTTTTAATATTTATTATTACATTATTAATATTTAAATTATTACATTACTAATATTTAATTGTTATATTTTTAATATTTAATTATTATGTTATTAAAATGTAATTATTAAATTATTAATATTTAATTATTAATTTATTCTTATTTCGCCTCAAGTTTAATTGGAAATAAATTTAATATTATTCCTTTACCTCTTCTTTCAATTCAGATTATTTGGATTATGTTCATTTTATTACAAAATAGTGCTGTCATGTATGCTGTTTGTTAGGTTATTATTTCATTTTAGATATGAATATGGGGAAGTTATTAGATTTAGGTATATTTTTGATCACATTTATTAACTACTTTATATAGTCTTTCATTTGCATAACTTGGAGATATAGAAGTTAATGGTTATATTTTTTACTATGAAACGCGAATAAATTTATACTTTAGGTAAAATACTGATTATGTTACCTTAAAAACCGCGTCCTAATATATCACGACAGGGACAATTTTCGATGTCTCTGAGATTTAACAGAAATAAATGTGATAATATTGTTATAATCAGAAACGCTGTTTTTGTTTTACCAGCGTATATTAGCTTTACTTTTAATTATGTCTGATTGAGTTTTATTTATTTTAAACCTACTGTTATTCTTATATATTTATAATAACCACTTTCTTAATTACTCTCACTTACATACTAGATACTAGTCTTAGATAGACATTTCTTTGGAATAATTCTAACACGTTTACATAATTCTTAAATAATTTAATTTAAACTATAAATTAAAAATTATGAAACATTTCTAAGTTTTCAGAGGAAATTTATGAAGTTGACTAAAACTTGAGAGTAAATAATAACAACCTAGTCACTTTTATCTTACTCGTTAAGTTTTTCTTCAACGCATAAATAAAAATCTGATGCTGATACCACATGACTTCCTTGTTAGGCCTGTTAATTTATACAAATTTTTGCTGCATTTCATTTAAACTTATTTCTGCGAATTTTATTAGAGATATATTTCTTATTCAATTAATTCTGTTCTCACTTCACAGAAAAGCGAAAATACGTAAATACTCAAAACATTTCATTAAGAATTGTAAAATACAGAAAAGCTTAGAACAGTAAAAAAATTTAAATTAAAATTTAATTTCAATTAAAATTAAAATTAGAAAAATATATATGTTATAACAATCCCATATACAAAATTTCAATATTTTACGGCTACTCGTTCTTGAGTTATGCGCGACACATCCATACGTAGGTCCGTACAGACGTCAAGGTTAAAATTTCTTTTGAATCCATTTTAAATCTACACTTACAATCCTTTTTGCCAAAACGTCCTTTGTTCGTAAGTACAGATGGCCACGCGAAAACATCGTTTCATTTAAATGCTTTGGAGAGCGGTTGAGATGGATAGCTTCGTTGCATATTCGAAATGTTTCGCGATACAATACTTCTTTTACTTCGTGCAAGAAAGTAAAAGTACATACGTTTGAATGTTTTAAATAATTATAAACTTCATTACATCTTATTACAGTTGGACACTTGATGAGGTTTTGATTCTGAGGATATTTGCAGCCTTGGTGAAAGAAATTGATGAAGTTTCGATTCTGATAAATTTTGTAGTCTTGAAGAGCGAAATTATCTTCATTACGGATTGTGGAAGCTCATCACAGTCAACCGAGGTCTTATCATATTAATCTTCAACTTAAGTAAAAAAGCTGTTCTTACATAAATTTATTCCCAAATAAAACGATTATTCTGAATGCAAAAATTTGCAACTAAGCTTATTTATTTTTGACAAGTACTAATAAAAGTTAATAACACCTTTATCTTCAAATCTTTGAATAAGATTTATGTCATTATAGTAAATTAATTACTTCCACTTACAGATTTTTGGAGAGTTATTTATGTTTGTTTTTAATGGAAATGAAAGAAATATAAACTTGGTCTTCAAATAACTAAACCCTTGAAGTCTGCTCAACACTGTTTTTGTTGGCAATACATAATTGAAATGTCTTCGCAGGTGGCATAAAATTGATTCGGATGCCGCGTGCGCCCAGTGGGCTGTCACTTTAAGATCACTGTTTTATTGTATTAAATTATTGTACTGTAGTGCTGTGCCTCTTAAACGTGTTTTGTGGAAAATAGAGTAAAATAATATTTTTATATATACATTGTAAAAAAGCCTTGCTGGTCTTTTCAAGCAGTGGTAAGAAATGGAAAACCTCACCCCCAAACTAGATACAATACATAATTATTAAGTTATGGAAGAATGTTCGGTAGATTGCCGAACAAAATATAAAATGGATCTCATTAAAGACATCAAAAAATACCACAGATATTCTATAATACTAACATATCATTAAGAGTAAGTAATTCCAAATTTTCTCCTTAAAAATTCGTTCATGACAGCTTCTTTTCAATCAGCTAGATAGCACTTGAGAATTTGCTATAAATAATATATGTACTGTTCCTTAAAAGCATAAACTACAAAAGTTCATTATCTACCATAAAATGTACAGACAATAATGAGTAAAATTTTCACATAAAAACAAAATTTTGTTTCAAAAACAGTCCTTATTTACCTCCTAAATTTCTCAATAAGTTTCGTAAAGTGAAAGGAAGATTTGCTTCTAGCCTGGATGCACCATACTTTTCAATCAGAGCCACATAGAAAAGTCCCGTTGTCCTGCTGATACCAGAAAGAACGGAATTGATAATACAAGCGGCAAATGCTATGGCCCATGACCGAGCTTGATCAGGTCCCTCTTCTCTTTTGATCATTTTACTGACTCCAAACAAAATTCACTTTATCCTAGAAGCAGGAGAAAAAATTTTAGATTATCAAACATCTGATACACACGAATTCTATAAATCTGAAAAATTATTTCATCTGTTAAAATCTTTAAAATTACCGAGATTTAAGAATAGAGGTTACGAGATTATATGTCGAATTATTGTGGCTTGAATACCCTTGAACTCTGTTTTCAATGTTATATAAGATACTGCTTAGAATCACACATTTTACACCGTAATTCAGTAACGTAATCAAACTATGCTTGATGAGTTCTTCCTCATAACTTACACACATTAACTGAATTAATTTTTTGCTGCAGCTGTCGTAACACTTAACATTAATTATGTTAAATGTACTGAACTGGAATTTTCCTTTAAATAACCAAATATGATTCAATCAGTCAAACGCGGAAGGTCTAGTTCTTTCGTTAAACACATTTTAGGAAAATTGATTGTAATACGTATAAATGTAATATAAGCAAGTTAATTTGAAATTTAAATATAGGTTAAAATTAACTAAGATTGACATTTTTTCTTTTAAAAACTATATTTCGATAGACTCATATCGGTATCTATAGACGCGTAACAATAGTCTTATCATTAAAACATTATCGTTTTATACATATATTTCAAGGAAAAATGGTTGCCAAAGCCTCGAAGAGGTTGGACTACTACTTCCAACCCTCTTTTGAGGGAGACCACCGAGGTGGGATCCGAGGGTCTGCCACCCCTCTCCCCCATCACCAAACCATACAAGAGGACTTTTGGCTCGCCATATATTTAGAGTGCTTCCATGCCATGTGGAAAACAAGGAAATTAGCGTCTCTATCTCGAAAACGATACGGGATAGGAAGAAAACGTGAATTACAATGTTGTACAACATCGTCCATTTACTATTAAAAGACACCTTGTGAACATGAAGGTTAAGAACAGAACGCTTTAAACACGCATTTGTTTATTCGCAATTTCCTACGCTGTGATGTCACGAAACAATCTTAGAAAGAAAAAACAATTATTTATCACAAGCTATCGTTATTTTCGATGTTCAAACTTTTCTCCGTCAGCTGAAATGCACATCTGAACCCTTGTTCGAAATTCTTGTTTAAAGCTTTTTAGCATAACGTCTGACAGGTTTGCACAAGCATCTGTAATACGTTACGTCTTTGAAGGTCCTGCAATGTTTGTGGAGGGATCGCATACACCTGCTATTTGAGGTATCCCCTCAGGAAAAGGTCCGTTGGAATCAGGTCAGGTGAACGCATGGAGGCTACTCTTCGAAACCACAATACCCGATTATTCGTTCTCCGAATTCCTTCATCAGGTACTCCTTTACTTGTGATGTCTTGTGCACAGACGCGCCCTCAGTTTGAACCATCCATTTCGGAATTGAAGCAACGGCAGGTGCTCAACAAAATCGGGTATTATTATATCTTGCAGAAGTTATAAATATCGTGAGGCCGTTAACGCACCCTGGTAGAATATTGGGCCGATTAGCCTGTGATTATAAATGCCAAAACAAACATTAATCGAAAACCGTATTTTATGTCGAACGTCAGCAGAACATGATGGATTTTCCAGTATCCACTAATGGGTGTTCTGACTATTGTACATTTCGTTCCACAAAAAGCATGCTTCATCCGTCCACATTATTATCTGCCAACAATGTTGGCTGGACTTCTGTCTTATTCATGACGAAGCTGTCTTATACGCCCTCACATATGCGAAATGTAACTCACGATGCGAAACGTAACTCAGCATTTCCGTCCAGTGCCTGATTAGGTTTTGGCTGGTATGGATGAGCACCAAATTCATTTAGAACTTTACAAACGCGATTTTTTTAGAAGCCACAATTTTCACTTATCTCTCTTGTACTGCTGTTCGCATATGTGAGGGCGTATAAGACATCTTCCGGCTGTACTTTCCGTCCTGCTTTAGCTGGTATGCCGGATCAAAGTCGGCTAGTCACGCCCTCTGTCTCCCTCAAACATTTTAAAAATTGTAGGATGGTTTTGTGCGAAGGATGCGAGCCTGCAGGAAAACGTTGCCGATACAACCGCGCTGTCGATCGAGTTTTACGCCCACATTACCGTAAAGCAGAACCATCTTACAATAATCAGTTTTTGAAAATCACTAAGACCATGAGCTTCAACAGATAACGCCGAGAAGATATCTCTTTTCTAGTGTCTCAGGTGATCAGGTGTGACGTTCCGTATACTATTTGCATAAGGCACAAATTAGCGCGCCAAGCTCAGGTTACGTTACATTGATGGCTTTACGATAGGATTGTGCACGATCTGCAAATTGTCTGCTCTGTTTGTAATGAAATTGAAACCAGAAACTCAGCCCAAGGTCTAAGAAGATTTGAAACCTCCCTTTCAAGGTTTGAAAAAACTGAGACTCCATGACCTAACTGGGAGCCGCCACCCCTCCAGGTCGTTGCAGAGGGAGAAAACATTCCTTGGAGTCAGAATTCATCGGGGAAGAGACCGAAGGGCGACCGCAACGATCCACAGGGCCAATCTCATGTCCAACTACTAATAACTCAGATATAGTTCCCACGAGAGGGGTCACCACTCCCTCCCGCAGTACTAAATTTAATACTCAGACAGTTTTATAATTTCAGCCAAGATCACAGGTCCCTCCACACCGAGCAAGAGGAGGCACTCCCTCTCTGACGGCCGTAACCATCCTTCATGTAACGTCCCCACCACCAAGGACACGGACAAGGCAGTACCAGTACGGTCCCTGCCAAGCCTGAACCTACCACCGAATAAACGATGGTCCTAATCTATGCGAAGACTGTTTATTTGCTCTGTAGGCTGAAGTTATCTAGACACAAGTCTAGCCAGTGATCTAGAAGAACTCCGGGTCCCTCCCATAAATGGTCAGTTCCGACAATTCCGCCAAGTCGGACCACAGAGTTAGTTGCCCAGCACCATTAACCTATGCCAGCCAGCCTATATGTAGCCTCTTCCGGCATAGTTTCCAGCTGGCGCCACGAAGAGGCTGATGCTGAACTGAGGGAGACGTGGCGAACCACCTCGGTACTCGCACCTTTAGATGAAACCCCGGGTCTCCTACCGCCAGCGGTCGGTTCCGGAGATTTGTCTTTGGATACGGGCACCGCCCGCCAAGTTGTTTGTAATGACAATCAGTACAAGGATACGCCCCGCGAGGTTTGAACCACAGGTTCGATTATGAATTACAAGCGATACCAATATTCCGCGATACGGGGTCGTGTTTCGTGACAGATAATCTTTTCTCTTTTGTTCAAGTTCGTGACGGCAGTTTCGGAAATCGCGAAGAAATAAATGTGCGTTTTCAGCGTTCTGTTTTTAGTATTCATATCCAGAAGGTGTCTTTTTGTACTAAATTGACGATGCTCTGCAACTTTTTAATCCAGTCTTTCTTCCTATCTCATATAGATTTCGAGATAGAGATGCTAACTCTACCGCTTTCCATTAGCTGGCGCTGTTAGCTATCTCATCTAGTACCGCACTAGGCTGTGCCTAAACACCACTTTTATCAGTACAGCTGTAGCCGTTCGGCCGAACTTTAGTGAAGACCCCGTATATATATATATAATTCATAATAATTTAGAATAAAAAAATGTTCCTATACTATCTCCAGGGAACACAAATTCAATTTAAAACCATGATTTTCCTTGATAAGTCGATTAATCTGACATCATTGACGATAGCTACTTTTCCAATATTTAAAACATAATTTTGGTTTTGGTATTTTTGCGTTTAAAGATTTTTCTTAGCAGACTTTTAAACAAGAATTTAAAATTACTATTTAAAATACTAATTTAAATTCTGATTAAAAACATTTTCTTTCATGGTTTTAAATTGAAATGTTTTCCTTGGAGATAGAAAGTTTTATTATTATAAATTATTATTTTATTAATTTGCACCCTTAGCGCAAGTCATAGGCTTTTTAGTTTACCTCTAATTACTTTATTTTTAATTTATATATATACAGGGTAATTCTAAATTACTTTTACATATTAAGAAGGGTGATAGTACTCCTCCAGATAAGCAATAATTATCACAGAACATAGGGTCGCATTCCAGTCTGAGAGGCAGAAAAGAGGAATATTAGAATTCCAATCTGAACTTACAACACTGTTGGGAGAGAGAATGAACGAGACCAAATGTTGCACAATCAGTTTAGTGACAAACTCACAGAGAGTTCAAAACACGGATAAAACCGAAAACTTAGCGTTCGAGTGTTAATTCGAGCTCATATTTTGATGGCAAACACTCAATTGCACATCTTTGGTTGGCAAGATCTCAACCTCGCAAACGATTGCAACAAATTAATTATGTAATCAAGGGCTGAAGATTATCAACTAACTCCAACGTCCGCTGCATGCCGAGATTAGCATGAAAACTTCATGCTGTGTTCCGGCTGTCAGAACTTCGTGTCCCATAGAAAGGCGCTTAAGTAGAATGAGCGCAGGAGAGTAAGTCCAGGAAGACAGGATAGAAGATGGCTAAGAGAAAAACAACTGCTACGTTGATACTTTATATCTAGGTAGTTTTCCCCCTAATAGATAATTTGTCCCTAATAATTTAGATAATTTACTTGTTGCAATCATTTGCGAAGTTGAGACCTTGCCAACCAAAGATGTGCTTTTGAGTGTTAGCCATCAAAGACTCAGCTCTAATTAACACTCCGAACGCCAAGTTTTCGGTTTTATCCGTTTTATGCACCATCACAAGCCATCCAGCTTCGCTTCGAAAGTCCTCCACAAAGGCATCCGACCACTTGAGCAGAAAGCCCGGGTGTGCTTTGCCGTTATCAAATATCCTAAACCTCTTAGACCATTACATTTACACCGTCGTTATGTCCATATTTAGACTTGATGATTTTGTTTGCTTTATTTGATTACGGCAAAGCACACGGCTATCAGCCTAAGGGAAGAGATGCCTTCGTGAGAGGACGTTCTAAGAGAAACTCGTTCGTATACACGTTGCAAATGG